GGCCCCCCCGCCGCAGCTCGGCGCCCTCAAGCTGGCCCCGGCGGAGGACGTCAAACCCAACGAGCAGAAGAAGAGGCCTGGAGGGTGAGTACCCATCACGGCGCAGAGATAAGGACTTGGAGGGTTCTGAGGGAGCCGGCAAAAGCCAGCTCTGAATTCTGTAGCACACCTGGGCATTTCGTCCGTTTGGAAAGAGCTCGCACTTCAGAAATAAGATCCATAGATCTTTGAATGTTTGTTTTTTGAAAACAGGTATTTTTAGCTTGTTTTTTCTTTTTTTTTTCCCCTGGGTTAGGAGTATACAAGGATTGTCCATATAAAATACATACTGGAGTAGAGGAGGATTTTTTCCAAGACAGAATGTATTAGGAAGCAAGTCCCAGCACTGCCTGCCTGATATCATAAGGTGTCTGATACTATGTTCAGGCAAAAGATCTCTGCTCAAAGTGTTCAGGGAAATCATACAGCAGTCCTGCTGCAGGAAGCTTCCTGAAAGCTGGGCCATGGAAATGTTCTAGAAGGTTTTGTTTCCCAGGATAGAGATCTGCTTAGTTATTGTCTTAATTTTAGTGTTGTAAGTGCTAAATCATCCTGAGGTGAACCAAACAAGCTACCTGCTTGCTCAGGAACCCTGGAGCTGGAAGGGATTTAGGTTGTTTAAACTTTCCCCACCTTCACATATGACTGGTGGCCCTGATGTAGCTTCTGGCGTTTGGCATGTTCTTCATGACTCGGCTTGGTGCAGACTCCCACGCTCTCCTTGGGCAATCCATTCCGGATAACAATATTCTACTATGTAAGTGTTGCTGCTTGTCCTCTTCCTCGGGGACAGGGAGAGCAAATCTCTTCCTTCTAGTTTGCAGCAACTTTTTACTTGTTCCCCTCGCTCCCCTCGGTCTGGCGCAGGATAAGTAACCTGGATTAAGTCTCTCTTCCTTCCTCTGGCTGTTCTCCTTGCAGGGGTTGACACGTCCCTCTGCATTTCGGTGCCCAAGACTGGATATACTAGTCCAGCCGAGGCCTCTCGAGGACTCGGTGGAAGGTACTTTGTGACTTGCCCGCCCAGCGCAACAAAGCTCCTGCTTTGGGGGCCAGGCGGGTCTGGTCGGGCGTTCAGGGACGCCGCTGCTGGGCAGACGGCAGCGGGTGTCCTCCCAAGCCGCAGAATGTCTCAGGGCTGCTCTGGTGAAATAGGCTCTGAGGAGCTTGAGGTCCTTTAGTCTCTGGTCTGCCCGGTGCAAACAAGGACCTGCAGGAGCACAGCACAGGATGTGCTCCTCGGTGCCACGGCTCCTTTCCCTTCAGGGAGATGTTTTGGCCATGTCCAAATCTGGCATTGCTTTTTGCTTTCTCCCACGTGGAGTCAAGTGTTTTGAATGCACGAGAAGTTTAGAACTCAGTAGTTCCCTTTGCTTGTGTGGGGTCCCCTAGCCCTTGCTGTGCTGTGAGCACTGCCCTGACGTGGGGAGCCCCGCGCGGAGCAGCGGCGGCCCTGGCGGGAGGCACCGCGTGGCTACAGCGAGCGAGGGAGCTGCGCGGTGCCGCTGAGCCGTGCTGCGGCCGCGGGGGTGCCCCAGGCCACGGCGCCTCGCTCCCACGAGGGGCGTTCTACTGCGCGTGTCCCCGGAGCTGCTCAACCGCGGAACGGTCTGCGTGAGGCCGAGCCGGTCGTAAAGGTTTCCTGCGACGCGTTCTGGATCCCGCGCCCCAACGTGCATCCTCTTTCTCTTCCCAGAGTTGCTCCTTCAGGCATAAGCATAGAAAAGATGTTTTATTCGGTTTGTAAATATTTCATGGGAAAAAAGCTGCCAAATATTTATTTTTAAACATCTGAATATTTATTAAATATTAACCGGCCTCCTGAAAAGCTCACCTCGCAGTCAGCATGTTTCCGGCCAAAGGTAAATAATCGCTGTGCATAGTGTATGGAAGATGCTTGCAGTCCCTGAGCCTGCTGCTGCGCGTTATCACCGCAGCAGAGAACACCTGAGATAGCACAGGCTTGTTCTGCTCTTCCTGAAAGAAGGTTCCTCTGATTTGGGGGGAGCAGAACCAGATGATACGGGAGGTGACTCTAGTTCTCTTTCTGGAGCAGTGACTGGGAGATTCCCATGTTGCTTCATGTTCATGCTCAGCTGTGTTATTTTAGGCACAGTGAAACTCTGAGGAGGTTTGAGGCATTCCTGCCAAGTCCCTTGTGCTTTAACGCGTCGTTGTATCAATCTTACCCCCTGGAGTGGAGGCGCAGGTTAGAAATGGGTCAGAATCTGGGCTACATAGGATGTAAATATATACAACTCATAATTTGTATATTTTCTTCTCTTTGATGGCCGTGTGTGCGTATATAGACACGTTATCCTGTTACCTGTTTGTATTTTGTGTGCAGTATAATCCACTATATGTATGCTTATCCCATCTAAACTGCATGTAAGCTGTAGATTTTATCTTTATACATTACAGCTAGAATTATGTATGCAAATGCCATTAAAACAGTGATACAGGAACATCTCTGTTGCACATTAATGTTAACCTCTACCTCCTAGACACACACACGCACTGCTGAAAGCACAGGTTGAATGGCAATAGTTTTAAACCTGACACTGAGTTTATCTTTGTTCTGTTTGGGTTACAGGGTTGGGACCAGGGAAGTACATAATAAATTGGAGAAGAACAGGTGCGTAGAAAGCCAGGGTTGCGTTTTTTATTGTAATTCTCCTTCCTTTTTTTTTGCCTATAGTCTCTAAATATCCGTTTGGTTTTTTTTTTTACAAATGACTTGAACAAAATTCTTAGCATTTTTTAATGAATCTTGCAATACTGCTTTGCTTTCTTTTAGCTCATGTCTGCATCTTTTGCTTCCCAGTATGTTTTACTTAGCTGCATAATTGCATTACAATAACATTGCAAAGCCCTGATCCTGCAAAGTAAATCACCATGTGCATAATGGTGTAATTTCTCATTTAAATTAATATGTTAGCCAAAACAGGAGCCAGGATATCATGTAAATGCGAAATAAAGATTAGTTCTTGATCCAAAACTTCTACAGTGTAAACAGCTATATCAGAAACATGGTAAAAATGAAAGCAAGACGCGGGGGGGTGAGAGATTTTATTTGAGATTGCACAACATTTCTTAGCAAAGCTAGGGCTAGATTTCAGGCCTCACAAGCCACACACCCCTATTCCATTTACTGGATTGGGAGGGCTCCGTTTGGAGCATGGTGGTAGTCTCAGTGGCTGCTGTGCACATGTGTCAGTGCTTTGCTGGATTAAGGCCCAAATTAAGTTTTCGCTCTCCATTAATCTGATTCCCAGTTGATGGTCGCGTCGGTTGACAAACTACCTGTGTTTTCTTTAGACGTGCGCATTTGAAAGAATGCTTTGAGACGTTAAAACGCAACATCCCCAACGTGGATGACAAGAAGACCTCAAACCTCAGCGTTCTAAGGAGTGCCTTGCGATACATCCAGGTACGTGTGGCGTGCGGCTGGCCGGCCTTTTGTGTCTGTGCTAATCGAAGTGGACTGCTGTGCACGTTTCGAATATCTCAGCAATTACTGATGAGACAGAAGGAACTGCAGGTTGTATACTTGGAGGTGGGGAAGGGATGGGGCTGGAAGCTCCAAATGGGTTGGGTACCAAAAGTGAATCTGTGAGAAAGTGCAGATAAAATTCAGCTGTAGTGTTTGGAGTGGAATAAGCATCAGTAATTGCTTGTTGCTTGTTACTTATCCCAGGCTTGGCACTGTCAGCAGTTTTGTCAACTGACTTTATGAATCGATTTGTTCTTACCCAGCACATTTTCCATATTTAATGTTTGTAAAATGGGTGAATGGTAGCTCAGAAGTTGTTCTTGGAGGTCTTCTCTGTGGTTGTGAAATCAATAGCCTGTAATGCAGTTACAATTAATTCAGTTGAGGAAAAGGAAGAGGAAGGCTTGCTAAGGTTGTACTTTTCTCTTGCAAGTGAAAAGAGCCACAGAGCTGGTGTGTTTTGGCTGAGTAGAGCACGCTCCGGACTGTTTACAAATGGCCTTTTCCACAGTAAAATGCCTCTGTCTTTCCTCTATATAAAATGGTATTGCCCTCTACCTGTCTGATGTCCCCTCCGTCTTCCCATCTCCCAGGAGGCAAGAGCTGCATGTTCCACATGCAGACTAAGGAGGAAACTCGTTAAGATACAGCACGATTTCTGCTAAGGGCTCCAGTGGAGCCCTCGCCCTTGTCCTAGCCGTCCCCTCCTTGTCCCTTGTGTCACTGCAGCCTGCTTTGGGAGGCTCAGCCATGCGGACTGGATGCAGGGGTTGCTGCTTCTCTAGATCACACACTCGTGTCCAAGCCTAAACCGCGCAGCTGGGGACACCTGACGGCCATTTAATGGCAGGTGTCAGATGAGTTGGCTGCTGTCCGTTCCTAGAGGCAGCAGTCACCGCAGAGCAGGGGATCGCTCATCCCGCTCGTTCGTAGTTGCGCCGCCTGCGCCCGGCTTTGCGGGACGGGCTCTCGGGCTCGTGCTGAGGAGCAGAGCAGCTCTGTGGAGACGGCGCAGAGGCAGCGCGGGGAGGAGAGCTGCCCGCCCTGCGTGGCGTCGTGGGGAGGAGAGATGGAGGAGAGCCGCCCGCCCCGTGTGCGTGGTGGGGAGGAGAGCTGCCCGCCCTGCGT